CCCCCGACGAAAAATCTTTGGGTGAAAAATGGAAAGTGTGGAAATTGGTAGGTAGGTGCTAGGAAAGAGCGGGGGACGTACCGAGACCCTCTCCTTGGTGGTGGTCGTACTGACACCCGTCCCTCCAGGGGGGGGTCGTACTTACACCACCATTTCATACATCACGATGCGGTACCCTGCGTCCAAAACGCCGATGGACCCTCAAAAGCTGACGGACGCTCAAAACGCTGCGGGCGCCCAAAACGTTGACGCAGAGTATGAACGCATACTTAGTTCAGATTAATTGAAAGCAATTCCATTTCAGAACTTCTGGCCATTTGTCTCAAAATATTCGCATAAAAGTATAACATCAGAGATCAACTCCTTGAAGCAGATCAAGTCAGAAATTGGTCGCGGAAGGGTGAGTGATACTGTCATTTTAGGGGGAGGGGTCACGAAGCAGCGCGAAGCTCTGCGCTGCGAGACATGTCTGTCGTGACTCTGGTCTGCTCCTTATTCAGCCCGAGCCTTGGCTATGGGAAAGGACATAGACGCGTTGCCGCGTGGCTCTCTCTGAAATAATATTGACATCCTGTTGTCGGCGCTGCTCATCTTTTGGGGGGAGGGAGGGGGCATTTTGCACTTTCGCGGGCTTCTTTCTTGGTTCCTGCCAACTACTAAACTACTAGTGTCACCTTAATGAGACCTGTTGACTCTTGTCAGTTGCAAATGAACCTCTTGCTGCTGCAGTTTTCAAGAGTTGATAGATCTCCATAGGAGGCATCGGCAGTTATTAGGAACTAGTAAAATGCCCCCAACACGTCGAATGTGCCCTGTCTACTATTGCTGAAAGTTCCTTTGATTAGCGTTCTTTTTCAGGCTTGGATTCGAATTGTTGCCAATCAAAATTCTCTAGAGCATTACGTTCAGTTACTTCTTAGCGAGACGAAGGCCATAAAGTAAGACCCTCGTAACCCTTTTTTGGCGTTTTACCTTCCTGGCGATCATTCCAGTACGAAACAAAAACGTTCACTTTCAGGCAATTCTATGACGACAATGCTCTAATCCGGGATGTAGAACAAATGGTT